TGCGCCTTTACATTCTGAAATGTTTCTAAGAACAGAAGTTTCTGTTGCCCACATTTCAATCTTGAATTGTGTAAGCCCGAATCTCGTCTCCCACTTACAAGATTTATGAGACATTCTTTCCAAGTCAGAGAGGTGAATTAAAGAAGTTATACTGGGAGATAGAGAGGAGGCAAAGGCAGCAACAAATTATTTACATGAACATTCCAAAGTCAGTTAACCACATTCCACTCAACTTACTTGGGAAACAATTGTGCAGTTTTAAAATTAGGATTTAATATACAACTCAGTGTTAACATTATGTTTAAAATAAATTAACCCAGATAAAAAGAATTTGGCCTCCAGGAAAATCAGAGTTCTACTCAAAATCTAATACTAACCAACTGCTAGGGTGGTGAATTTTCAGGATCTAATGAAAAGCTTGTTCAATCTGATGGCTAAGTAGTGGAATAAGTGACACGAGAAGGAACAAAGCCCATTACACAGCAGTGTCTCCTTTTGAACTAATAGGTTCTAATGCTTTTTCTTATTCATGGAAAAATATCCGAAAAGTAAAATATTTTTTTGTTTCTACTACAGAAATTCTATTTTTAAAATTTGCATCTAATTTGTGTATCTGCTGTAACTTAATTTAAGCATACTTCTAATTAGCATCATAAAGGAAGTTAGGAAAGAGGCATATCTCATCAAGTTGCAGCCAATGAAGACCAGGATGAAAAAGACCAGACTTGGCAGAAAAAGGCCACGTGGTGAACAGGCATTGCCCAGGTTGAATGGTCACTTGCTGGTGTTAAGGCTCTGACATTCGACTTCCCCCACTACTTGTAGGTCAGTCAAGTCCATCTGGGGTAACTGAGCTCCCACAAGTAAAACTGGGAGATCTGACACCTCACTTGCCACAATCGGCATCATGCAGGTTTTTAATCCAAGATCTAACACTTCTAAGCTGGAACATTTTACCCGTTACCTCTTTTGAGTTGCCTGCTGGGAAGCTGGGGGCCAAATCTGTAGCCCACTTACAATCACATTTTGTGTACAGGTTCACTCCTGATTTAATATTTTGTCATTTCCTCTTTGCTCAGAGCATATTTAGTCTAAATAAATGTTATTGTGTTGTACGTGTCTCTGTAAGCCCTCTTAAAAACTTCCTGGGACAAGGCAATGCATAAACAAACTTTAGATAAAATATAATCTAAATAAATATAACCAGGCTAAAGTGAATCACACTATATAGCACAAGCTGCTTCAAGACAAAGGTATCAGAGATTTAAAAGGCGGTAACATTTCTTAGCAAATTCATGTTCTCCCTAGGGCAATATCAGACTTATAAAAATCGGAATTTCAGGAGTTTACAATGAAAGATGAATTCAAACTGCCCCCAAAATGTTTTCAGAAGCTTCTGAATTTCCAAAGATATTAAAAAATACAATCATTCAAGCTTAAAAGAAGTCTCTGGAAAGGTGCCTGTTGTGGTATATTACAGCATACAGGATAACCAGAGGTGGAATCTTTATTTCACAAGTTTCAAGATACAGTACAAAACGAATCTGTACATCTCTCTATTAACAGGATGTTTGTTTACACAATTATATTACACTTCACCAACCTTTATACTGTATTTCATTACATACAAAATAAATTTACAAAAAAAAAGTCTATCATGGTGTTCCTTCACAATGGCAGCTTAAGGTCTTTTAAAACTTCCTTTTCTACATATGTATAGTGGTTACATCTTGATATCAACATTATGAGTTTTATGAGTTTATTTTTTAATCAAAGAGAATAGTGTCAGCCTGTTTGTCAAACCAAATAGGAAAAACAGCATGTGAGATGATTCCCTGCACACAACCAAGGAATCCTTTCCTGCACACAACGTCGGATTTTTACTTGTACAAATAAGTCACTGTTAACATACAAACTATCTTTCCTTGGGATCGTTTTAAATTTTCTTGAAATACCAAGTGGGTGGAGAAATTTAGCTTCTTTTCAATGAATACCACATATTTAAAATCCAGATTGTGCCTGGCATTCAGGAGTGTTATATTTTCATTTATATTTGAGACTGATGGCTGATGAAAAATATTTTCATGAAAATAGAAGTTTTCTTTTGTTCTGATAATTTCTTACATGCTTCTAGTCATAATAATGTGTAAAATATATATGCAATTCACTTTCAAAACAAATATCACCTGTCACTGAAACAAATAAAGCTCTGCTCATCTTGGCAGTTAAAGGGGCTGTTTTCCCGACACATTTTGTTTTGAAATGTGTATGTGAAATATTAGTCCGAACCTCTGCAAAGGAAGTTTTTGCATATGTAGTTAGACATTAATATACATGCTACACACATAAAGAATTGTGTTTTTCATTTATAGGCCTGCATGCATACTTCCAAAATACTGGTTTGAAGAATGAACACGAGAAACAAAGAAGGGAGGGAAAAACGAAGAATAAGAAAACAAACAAAAAAAATCCTATATATAATAATAAAATACTTAAGTTTCCTTGAGGCATCAACAGCTCTTTAAATAAATCATCAGATCATCACCAGATCACTGGCAGAAGTTTCCAAAACTTCCTAATAGTACAGAGACAAAATGGCTTAGTGGCAAAACTCTCACATGTAAAGTAAAAATTAACCTAATATGCAGAATAGTAATAAATCCTTAAGAGTATCAAGATTAATAATTTATAAATTAATCTGAGTGCTAAATAATAAATTTTGAAGTCATCTTTGATTTACTTTTTCTGTGCCATTGACTACTCATGAAAAATAAGCCTCACCTAGAAAACAGAAACTGAAACTTCAAACAAGGAGACAGGAAAAAAAAAACATACACACAATAAATCCACCAATGCTACCTCTGTAAAATAAAATAGAAGCAAGATGAATAGTTTCAAGACAGTCAGCTAACCAACAAACCGAATGCACAAGAGAAGAGTAAACAGGGTACTACTGTCATCATATTCGAAGGCAGGAAGACGGACTAGAAAAGGTCTTAGGAGAGATTGGCTACCATGGACAAATGAAGCCACACTCTGTCTGTTAAATCTAAATTCTAACATTAAAACTCCTGAATCCTGGAGTTAGTTTAATGTCACTGACATTAACTAGCTTAGTTATTGTCATTTTATTCAAATGGATGCCATTTGATTAGGTATGTATTGAGCATTATTTTAGGAGAAAAACCAAATCCAACTCCTGTTTGCTTAGGTACCATGTCCCATGAACAAAAAAGAGGAGAGCAAAGTATTTTTGAGACAGTCCTTAAGTGAAGCCCTAAGAACTAAGTTATTTGAAAGATACCATTCACAAACTGCTGGAAGCAAATGACCCAGGGTAAAATGAAGTGGAAACAAGCCAAGAAAAGGAAATTCAGAACATCAACAATAAAAAAAAGGCGAGTGGTAAACTAGTAAGAAGTGTGTTAATATATGAAGAACAAGACTGCACTTTCCCGTTGAACCTTAGGTAGCACACACAGTTTTAAGAAATGTTTTCTCAAAGCACATACTCCATGGGGGGAAGGAAAGTTACATACAAAAAGGTTGCTAAAAGAAAAATTAGGGTGGATGGCTGAAGAAAAAAGTGAAAGCTGATAGTTATCTTAGGTGGTTTTTCAACTTTTAAATAAATTATAACAGTTTCTTCTAAAGGAAGTGTGGCTGCTACCATGGATTACACTTATTTTGAAGCGGGGAGAAGGGGCAGTGGTGGAGACACCAATGTACTGTACCAAATCTCTACGTGTAAGAGACCAAACAAGTCTTTGTATTTACAACAGCTGCCTAAAGCACATTACACTTAGGGGGGTAAAATTTCCTAGCTTTCACAGATATGCTTTCATACATATGGTTCTCTTGGTGACCTACTCTTCGAATTTGGAAGCAATTATCTGGGAGAAAAGTTTTGCTTACCAGGTTTCCCATAATATTCTAAACACAAAAAAGGTATACAACTTCACATTTAAAAGCCTTCACGTTCATTATAGACTAGTTAAATCTAGTTCTAAATACTACCGCAACTTCAAAAATCAAAGCAGTAACTCTACAAGCAATAAACTTTTCAAGTTTTCTGGCAGATTCTGGGAAAAAGCATAAAGGTTAGTATGAACTGACATCAGCAGGTGTAGAAAACCTGCTGAGATACAAACACAGTCTCAGACAAGATACAGGCTGGTGAACGCCACCATCTGACAATAAAATGAAATACAAATTCAGTTTAAGCTTCAATTCTTTTGTGTGTGATTAGGTGAAACTCTTCAGTTTTCCTTTTTTTTTTTTTCCATACTATTTAACCAGACAATCCTGAAGCATAGTAGCCTTAATTTTCCTAATGTTATCAGTGAGAAAATGGTGAATATGATAGCTACGCAGTGGCTGGCTGTTATAAAACTATCAGAAATAAAAAGATACCTGAACAGTATAGAACAGTATAAACAAGTTCTGGCTTTCATCAACCACTGAGTGTTTTTTTGTTTCTGAGATGGAGTCTCGCTCTGTCGCCCAGGTTGGAGTGCAGTGGTGCAACCTTGGCTCACAGCAACTACTGCATCCCGGGTTCAAGTGATTCTCCTGCCTCAGCCTCCTGAGTAGCTGGGATTACAGGTGTGCGCCACCACGCCTGGCTAATTTTTGTATTTTTAATAGAGACAGGGTTTCACCATGTTTGTCAGGCTAGTCTCAAACTCTTGACCTTGTGATCCGCCTGCCTCAGCCTCCCAAAGTGCTGGGGTTACAGGTGTGAGCCACTGCACCCGGCCATCATCAATCACTGAGCTTAATCCATCTTTGATTGTCTGAGTTTTAGTATTATAATAGTAGTCACTGTAAGCCATACCCTGGCAATGATATTTCCTATTTAAAGAATTCAGGAAGGCGATGAGTTCTTTGTGCAAAAAGAAATGCAAAGTAAAATAAATTCTGGGAATAAATGCTTCAACTTTAGGAAATGTGTGTCTGTCTGTGATCGTGGTACCCCAGCCAGAGTTCGTTTTGTTTTCTAATTTCTCCCATTTAGTCCATCCTCTGGCTTCTGGATCAAAGCTCTGTACATTCAAAACAAACAAGCAAATTACAGAGTAGGTGGGGCAAATTCACATTGGCGCAAGGAGTCACAAGGTTTTACATATGTATATTGCATTCCAAAGGAGTAAAGCTCACAAAAAACTCCTTAACAAGGCCTTTCAGTCTTTGAAGGAGAGGGGTATGGTATACAGTGTGACAATCACCAATAAGAACCTCCTTACCTTCCCTTTTAAAATAACGAATATGCTAAATATGTATAGCATGTGGACTGGTAAAAGTTTCTCAGTAGTCGAAGTTCCAAAACACTTTGAAGATGTCTTTTTTTTTTTTTAACTTAAAAGGCAAGTTCTATTTTCAGACTTTCGAACACGTTTAAACTTGCAACTAACTGGGTTTTCCTTTTTGCACTGATCAGTTTTTAGTGTCGATGCACAATACCTTAAAGATGGTTAATATCAAGAACTTATGCACATTGAAATAATGACCAAAAGGATCCAAGAAAGATAGCTGGATACAGCAGATGTTACTTTGAGTGTCTCACGTTTCCAGAAAAGAAAAAAGAAAAAGCCACTGAGAGTTGTTATTCCATATGGCACTGAAACAAACATTCAGCTTAGTTTACTTAAGAGTTACTTATCCCTGAAAATAAAGGCATCAGATTCTAAGCAGCTTTAGGAATTCAATGCTTCCTTATGCCATGCCTCTTCCGGGAGGTGACCACTGATCCAAAGTCCTAAATCAAATGCAAGTGTTCCCTGCAGATAACTTCCTTTGCTGTCACCGATCAAGGCTGGACCTGGTGGCTGTTACTGGGGTGGCTGCTGCTCTGGGGGCACCTCCTGCTGGGGAGGAGCTGGCCGTGGTCCTGGAGGCCTGGGTGCAGGCATGTCTTGGTGCTGCCTTTGCCTGTAAGCTATGACTGTTCCCAACAGCAGCGCGATGATGGTCATGAGGTAAAGGTCCCACTCAGGCCCCAAAAGCTGGTCCATATCAAGTTGGGTGAACATATCTCGAATCTTAATGAAAATAATATGGAAACCATTATTATCACTAAAATGTCAGGCAAAAAACTAGGAAAGTTATATCACCAGAGATAAGTATAGAAATTAAAATAATTGGGCCTGGCGCCGTGGCTCACGCCTGTAATCCCAGCACTTTGGAAGGCCGAAGTGGGTGAATCACAAGGTCAGGAGTTCATGACCAGACTGATCAATATGCAGAAACTCCGTCTCTACTAAAAAAAATACAAAAATTAGCCAGGTGTGGTGGCATGAGCCTGTAGTCCCAGCTACTCTGGAGGCTGAGGCAGGAGAATCAATCGCTTGAACCTGAGAGGTGGATATACAGTGAGGCGAGATAGCGCCACTGCACTCCAGCCTGGGTGACAGAGTGAAACTTTGTCTCAAAAAAAAATAAAAAAATAAAAAAAAATAAAATAATTGGTTTTAAAAACATTTTGCTGTGTGAGTCTGTGTGTGTGTGTGTGTGTGTGTGTGTGTGTGTGTGTATGCGTGTGTTTAAAGGGGTTTTAAAAGCCTTCAACTGAAGCTCAAAATAATGTGTCTGAGGAACTGAGCTATTAATGTATAACAGCTGATATTTAATATAAAATGTCTGACAGTGTTCTTTACATCAGTAATCCAATTCACTAATTTTAACCATTTTTCACATAAAATACTTGAAAAAAAAATCACTAGGGCCAGGTGCAGGGGCTCACACCTTGTAATCCCAGCACTTTGGGAGGCCGAGGTGGGTGGATCACTTGAGGCCAGGAGTTTGAGACCACCCTGGCCAACATAGCAAAATCCTGTCTCTACTAAAAATACAAAAATTAACTTGCATAGTGGAGGGTGCCTGCAATCCTAGCTATTGGGGATGCTGAGGCACGAGAATTGCTTGAACCCGGGAGGTGGAGGTTGCAGTGAGCCGAGACTGTGCCACTATACTCCAGCCTGGGTGAGATAGTGAGACTCTCAAAAAAAAAAAAAAAAAAAAAAAGAAAGAAAAAAACAATGGCAAGCCAAGGGGAGAAATTAGTATCTTGGCACAGGGAACCTATTGGCAGTGACAGCACACCAGCTGGAAAGCTCTGTTCCATGACAGTGGGGCCATTTCACTATTCCCATGTAATTGAAAATGGCAGGAACTCAAATATTTAATAGCTGAACGAATAATGCTTCTCAATTAGGATTTAACTAAAACACAAAATATTTAACATCTGAATTTAAACTTAAAAGTTATGTTCTTAGTCTATGATATCTGAATTGTTTAGTATCACTTATTTCTGATACTTTCTGACTTCTATTATACTTACCCATTAAGAAAGTAAATGTAGGGTATAATTTTTAAAATAAAATTACATTTGAAAGATCTCTGTAACACATTTGTAGGTACAGGTGCTAAATTTTTCTGGGAAAAGGCTCACGCCTGTAATCCCAGCAGTTTGGGAGGCTGAGGCGGGTGGATCACAAGGTCAAGAGATAGAGACCATCCTGGTCAACATGGTGAAACCCCGTCTCTACTAAAAATACAAAAAAAAAATTAGCTGGGCATGGTGGCTTGTGCCTGTAATCCCAGCTACTCAGGAGGCTGAGGCAGGAGAATTGCCTGAACCCAGGAGGTGGAGGTTGCGCCACTGCACTCCAGCCTAGGTAACAGGAGCGAAACTCCGTCCCGAACAAAAAAAAATAAAAAAAAAAAAAAAAGGACAAGAAACCACTAATTGTGTTCTCTGGGGAAGAATCTGGGATGGGAGATTTGTGTTCTTCTGCACTGTTTGACTTCCTTACGATCGATACTTATTAGTCTTGGACTCTCCTTTTCTTTTTAGTTGGAATAGCTAGGTGGTAGGATTATGGGGCATTTTACTGTCTTCTTTATGCTTCTGTATTAAAAAAATAGAGATATAATATACCCAGTACATCGTACTGGAAGATGAAATCTTAGACTATAACCAACAATTAGTAATAAAAATTGTGAGAGATAAGAGTTTGAAATAGTACTGAGAGAAACAGTAGGCTGCCACATGGTCAGCTTTTTAATTAAAGAAACAAAGATTGTTTCAACTGGCAGCGGTTACAGCACACTTGACTCATGCTACCATTCGATTACAGCAACTGACAGTACACATGCATAAGCAACTGGGAGGACAGAGCCCCATACCAGTGCTCTAGAGCTATCTGGGGAGGACTTCAGCTGCATGGACTAGACAAGTCCATTTCTTTTTATTGATGATGGAGCAGCATGGACTACATTTATACCTGTGACACATACGAGGGAAAGCCCGTTCTTGATTGTAATACTGAAAGACATTAACAAAAGGGTGAAACATCATCCTTTTCTGGTCCTGAATAAACTTTTCTGGTCCTGAATAAGCCTATGTTAGAAACAATGTTTCTGAACATCTTAGGGCTTTCAGAGTCAAATGCTGCACCACTTAATCCATTCTAGGAACTACAGTACTGGAAACAAAATGTAAAGCTGGCAGAATCCAAGAGTATCTACACACCAGTACTGGCAACTAAAGTTGGTAATTTTGAAGAAAACAGGTAACCACTTCCTATTTAGGTTCTCCCATTAGCCTATTTAAATAATTCAAACTATTTTTAGAGAAGAAAATTCGGGTGGTGTTTTCAACTTAATGTTTCACTATCAGAAGAATCTGAAATACAACAACCCGGGCAGGTTCTCAAGTTCTTTTTTTCTTTTTCTTTTTAAGGAACTGGTTTGAGCCACTGCCAGGCGATCATCTGATTTAATGTTTACTGAATGTAAGTACTGTTTCAAACTGCCGTTAATCTGTCTCAGTTTTTCCTAAAGCAGAAAACATTTGCATCCATGAAAAATGCTTCAGCGTTACGAAGTATCAAATGCTACCTAAAAACTGCAGTAACTGCTTTGTGCCTGCATTTATCCCTCCCCTGGTAAGCTCCTCTAGGACCTGAGCTGAGGGGAAGAAGGGAACCCACCTGATACTTGCAGGACATGTTTCCCTGTGCTTCTCAACCTCTGAAATACAAACCTCCAGGACAGAGCTTCCATCATTTATATTTTGATTAAAAGAGGCATGGACCACTTACGTTTGTTTCCCGTATGTACTGCAAGAAATAGACAATGCCCAATTTGCAAAGGGCTAGGAAGACTGGAACTTGTGCATCAGGGCTGGCTTCAGCTGCCATGTCATAAAAACGTTTTGCAAGGTGAATATCCTATAATACAGGGAGGAAACAAAAACGCATTTCTTGTCAAAATAAGTAAAAATATTTAGTGTACATGCTAGACAAATTTATTTTACCTTTGAGGTTTTCATTTTAAAAATAAGTTTCCCTCACCTAAAGAAAAATGACAAGCTTTATTTGGGTAAAATTTGTTTAATTATCTAACTGCTTAATATTAAAAACTTAATTAAAAAACTCATTTCCCCCCAACGTAACATCTCATTTGCTGTGTAGATATGCTGGATACAGCCATATATCCATGCATTGACACTATTAACCTACAGATTTCCAAAGGCGACCTCTGAGACTCACAATTTTTTGCTACTTAAAACTTCAATCAGGGTAAGCAATGTCTGGTTTCAGTTTGGGACAGTAATCTTCAAAGTGGGGTAGAGACACTCAAGATTTTACAACAGAGGCCAGGCATGGTGGATCATTCCTGTAATCCCAATGCTTTGGGAGGGCGAGGCAGAATGATCACTTGAGGCCAGGAGTTCAAGATCAGCCTGAGCAACCCAGTGAAACTCTCTACAAAAAAATAAGCCAAATTAGCTGGGTGTGATGTTGCCTGCCTGTAGTCCCAGCTACTTGGGAGGCTGAGGTGGGAGGATTGCTTGAACCCAGGAGGCCGAGGTTGTAATGAGCTGAGATGGTGCCACAGCACTCCAGCTTGGGTGACAGAGTGAGACCCTGTCTCCAAAAAAGAAGAAACAGATTTTGTAAGAGGTACTTGCATGGACATGTTAAAGAACTCTATTCTGCAGTTCTGCAACTTCCATATGTGCTTCTTCCTAAAAGGGATCTGCTGAGAATAGGCCTGCGTGCACAGCAACGTTTCTCCACTTTGCAAAAGGAGGGCATAGCCCTTATCTACCCCACTCTTTCCTCAAGTGCACTGCCTTGGGGTGTAAAAATCTCAGGGGCTACCACTGAAAGAGATACCATGAAATACTATTTCTGGAGAAGGTTCCTTTACTGACTAATTATAAATCCTTATTAGGGCATCTTGTGTTTCCCTGTGTTAGATATATTTCTGTAAAGGGTGAAACAAGTCATTCTTAATTTTGGCGGGGGCTAGAGTGTTCTGAATTCAGATATGTAATAGAATGGAATGGTGGGAATTTTCCCTTAAAAATCTCATTTCTATTCCTTATTATCAAAGAATACCAAACTCTTAAGAATTCCATGAGACATGAAGAAGAAAGGCTAAAGACCAAAAATGACTCCGGCCACCAACATATTTAAATACAAGCAGTTACTTTCAGCTATTCCTCATTTTTGTCCTTAGGGTATGTCAAGAAGAGGATCTTCAAATAATGGTAACAGCATGGTTAGTGTCTGATTTTTTTGGAAAAATATAACTCAAATGGTTTTTTGGACTGCTGTGTTTTTCAAGCTCATGGATCAAACTTCATGTGACTCATACACACTCTGTGGATGATTCACTAGGGTCATTAAATAGATTCAATAATGTGTAATTAAAATTTAACAAATAATGTAATTTTTTTCCAATAGTCAATCTTCATATTATTTAATATTTTCCTATGTTAAATGCTAGATTGATTGTTTTTAGTATTAGTAGCATGAATATTTTAAACTTAAAAAAAAAACAACAGAAAATGTAGGCTGGGCGTGGTGGCTCACGCCTGTAATCTCAGCACTTTGGGAGGCCGAGGAGGGTGGATCACCTGAGGTTAGGAGTTCAAGACCAGCCTGGCCAACATGGTGAAACCCTGTTTTTAAAAACAAACAAACAAACAAACAAACAAAAAAAACAGAAAACGTGATCCTGGTGTCTTACAAAAAGTAATGGAGTACTGATTTTTATACATGATTATTTATTCTCAAAAGCTAAACACAACTTCCCTCCCTCTACTCTTATCAGAGGAATACTATGCCTTTTATTATATCTTTATTTACAAGAATTTATATTGTTAGCTATACATTGTATTACAAATTAAAGGAGCAAATTTTCTTGTTTTATAACCTATTACAAAAACAGATTATTAGTCATAGCATTTTCATCTGCAGTCAGTATAGTATTACTAGATGTACTCCATGAAAGCCATAACTTATATATGATCTTTGTATTAGTTATGTTAAACTTCACTTGAATTAAAAAGGGTCAGCTAGGTGTAGTGGCTCACACCTGCAATCTCAGCACTTTTTGCAGGCCGAGGCGTTTGAGTCCCCAGGAAATTGAGACAAACCTAAGGAACATAATGGTACCCCATCTCCATTTAAAAAAAAAAAAAAAAAAAGAAAAAAAACCTGTCAGCCTTTCTGATAGAAGCTAAGTCTAATATGGGACACTGGATGACTGGTTTGATAATAAAGAGAGGCTTCAATTCCTCCATTAAGTGGCAGAGACCTTCCAGAAGTTGAATGTACTGAGTTTGCAGCTCCAGAGCCTTGACTGAATTATATTTAAGTATCTAATATTAGTAATATTCTAAATACTAGGGTAAGTTTAATATATAAACATTTACATACTGAAATTAAAATAAAATGTCCAAATGTGAACAAAGCAGCAGTATTTTGTAAAGAAAATAGCGAATTAGCAAAAATGAACTTAACTTTCCCTCAATCCCTAAGCAGTTAGGTCAACAAAGGGCCTCTAAGTGGCACAGGAAGGAGTATAATTAACAGTCCATCTCATAAGTCTTGGTAAAGCCTTTTCAATACTCTTTCCTAGAAAAAGGGAAAAGTGAAAGGCTCCAGTGTCAGGGAACACATGCTTTCACAAGTTTTCGGTTTCTAATTCTTTGCTTTCAATGCAACTGAAGAGGGACCTAATCAAGTGGTTAGGGGATTAATCATTAGGAATAATTTCTAATGACAAGTTACTCTGATTATTGCCATCTAACTGTTAAGGCAGTTTAAAGAACTATGTGACCATGCTATATTGAAACTCTTCTCATTTTCATATACGTATTTATGTGAACAACATTCTAGTCATACATTTCAAAAAATGAAAAACAGAATTAATGCTAAATCTGCTCAATAACTTTTAACAAATACTCCATTTATCTCATTAAGAAATGCATTTTCTCTTTTTTTGTGACAGAGTCTTGCTCTGCAGACTTGAGTGCAGTGGTGCAATCTCAGCTTTCTGCAAGTGATTCTCCTGTCTCAGCCTCCAGAGTAGCTGGGACTACAGGTGTGTGCCACCATGCCCAGCTAACTTTTGTCTTTTTAGCAGAGACGGGGTTTCACCATGTTGGCCAGGATGGTCTCAATCTCTTTGACCTCATGATCCACCCACTTCAGCCTCCCAAAGTGCTGGGATTACAGGTGTGAGCCACTGTCCCTGGCCCATTGCATTTTCAATTACTAATATAAAAGCAAAGTTTTATCAAAACATATTTTGTAGATTTGATCAACAATGTATTAAGTGATCAACTGTGACTAGTAATATCTCATGAACTTTTCTTAACACTTAGATCGCTGTTAATAAAATTCAAAATGAATTTATATATTTGTTTCAGGTAAGTACGATAGAGTGATCAATAAAAAAACTAAGCATTAAAAACAATACATTAGTATTACATTCTACAGAAGTTGTGGTAGAAAATATAAATTTAGGGAAACAGGAAAAGCCATAACTTTCAATTAAAGCACTTGCTTGTATATTTCTAAAAGAAATTAATAATGAGTGGGTATTATTGTTATTTAGATTCTACTGGATATTTTAAGTGTAAATAATTTTACTTAAAAATGTTAATGCTTAAAATAGCTAGAATTTAGAGCCTTTGAAACCTAAGAAAAAACTTAAATGCCAACTTAAAAATGCACAAGGGGGTCTGTAGTTTTTCCCCCTTTGTGGGGAAACATAGGCAAAACCTTAAGTCATGAGTCCAGAGAACGTCAGACTTAGTTAGGAAAGTGTTAAGAATCAGAAATAAATTTATCAGTAGAATACATTTAATTCATTTCAAAATAATTTAGAAATAATAGAATTTGGCTGAAGATTGACAGATAGTTTCTCAAACAAGTAGTAATCAGCAGAGGCAGCACGGCACTTCCATTTTCATGAGTCTGTTTTCAGCTTAATCCCTAAACAGAACAGCTTGGATGGTAATATCTGTGTGTCTCTGTGTGTCCTGGAAGATGAGAGATGGAAGGGCAGTCTTCTGAAATATTACAAATCAGTCCCATAATTTAGTGGCCTGAAATCCAACTGAATGTCAAGGAAAGTCTATTTTTTATACAAATGCAAGTGTTTTCCCCAATCACAATTATATTATTCAAACATGTTTGGAAGCTACACTCACCTGTTTAATGCCCAGTCCTTTCTCATGCATATATCCCAGATTAAACATAGCTTGTGCACTGTGCTGCTGCTCAGAAGCCAGACGGTAATGAATAAATGCAGTTTCATAATCTACATCGGTGCCAAATCCATAGAAATGGTAGTCTCCAAGCTTAATTCTAGCCACAGTATAGCCTTAAACAAAAGTTAAATGCAAAACTGCCAATAAATAATGTTTAAAACAGACCAAATTTTTCTTTCCTCCTGTTAGCATGCTTACATAAAACAAAGACTTTTAATTTGTAGTACACAAACTTTGTAACAAATCCTTTCAGCCAAGTTATAAAATCCAGTGCAGATTTAAACTAGAAGTGTAGCTCTTCTGCAGGCTTTGGAATAGAGAGAGTTTTGTAAAACCAAGTTGGTGTGTGTGTTGGGGGACAGACAGGTTCAATATCCCTAATTAAAAAATTTGAAATCTGAAATGCCCCCAAACCTGAAACTTGACGTTCAAAGTCATGTTCAAAGGAAATGGTCACTGGAGCATTTCAGATTTCGGACTAAGGATGCTTAAACGATATGCGCAAATATTCCAAATACACACACACAAAAACAAACAAAAAAAAATCTGAAATCTGAAACACTCTGGTCCTAAGCATTTCAGATAAGGGATACTCAAGTTGTACTCCCTCCTTTCACTAACACTCCTAAGTAAAGAATCAGGCTCCTATTTTATCATGTCATTTACATTTTAAAATAGTCCAGCTTCGGCTGGGGGCAGTGGCTCATGCCTGTAATCCCAGCACTTTGGGAGGCCGAGGCAGGCGGATCATGAGGTTAGGAGATTGAGACCATCCTGGCTAACAAGGTGAAACCCGTCTCTACTAAAATATAAAAAATAAGCCAGGCGTGTGGCTTGTGCCTGTAGTCCCAGCTACTCCGGAGGCTGAGGCAGGAGAATCATTTGAACCCAAGCGGCGGAGGTTGTGGTGAGCCAAGATCATGCCACTGCACTCCAGCTGGGCGACGGAGCAAGAGCCCGTCTCAAAAAAAAAAAAAAAAAATGAGTCCAGCTTGACCATTTAGGCTTGGAGAAGGAACAGGCAGAGAAACATGTATAAAAAATAAATATTCAAAAGAAAAAAAGAGTGAGGTAAAAGTTACAGTCTTTCAGGTTTCAGACTAACGTTCTATCATATATTCTATTTAATTCCCATTTCACACAGTATACTGGCCTCAAACTAGAAACCAGAGTGAATCATAGCTTGATGGAAATGTGTAGTACCAAGTCTTTACAATCCAATTTAGAAACTCTGGCTCTAGAAACTTCTATGTTAAGAATAAATACCAATAATATGCAAACAAATTAATTCACAGTATCTCTCTGCTTAATTAATTATTATATTTTTTTGAGACGGAGTCTCGCTCTGTCACCCAGGCTGGAGTGCAGTGGCGTGATCTTGGCTCACTGTAACCTCCGCCTCCTGGGTTCAAGTGATTCTCCTGTCTCAGCCTCCTGAGTAGCTGGAATTATAGGAGCCCGGCTAATTTTTTTTTTGTATTTTTAGTAGAGACAGGGTTTCACTATGTTGGCCAGGCTGGTTTCGAACTCCTGACCTCAAGTGATCCTCCTGCCTTGGTCTCCCAAAGTGCTAGGATTACAGGCGTGAGCCATTACACCCAGGCTCTACTTAATTTAAAGGTGATGAATGACATGATTTAATGTTCATGGGAGATAAACAACACAGGGAGGTCCTTGAGCGAAACTCTTAACCTTGAATTATCACTCACCTTGAGAGGCAGCCCTGTTCCAATGTAGCAAAGCTCTGGGATAAGTTTCATTCTCACCTACAATGGTTGCTTCTCCTACAGAAAAAGAAACAAAATAAAATCAGGCATTTAAGAAAAGGCACTAGACTTACTTTTCATTTGCAAAGTAGGGAGGACAGGTGGAGCATAAGTTAAACAAGAATTAGGATATAAGAAGAATTGAACAAGTACTGAAATTAAACAATTATTGAACTAGAATAGTGGGTTCAAAGCAATGGCTGGATGCAAGAGGTCACTACTTTGTGAAACATGTTTTATTTATAGAACCATTGAGACTACTGAGCCACTTTTCTGCACAGTGTTGGAAAAATGGCACTTTTATATCCACTGTATTTTGAAAAATGTATTTATGGAAAGTGCTTAATTTTAAAATGAATGTCAAATCCATTTCTACAGTCATATCTAGTTATAAAACTATGATGGCTAAAGTAAAATATTAATAACTTAAGCATGTGTGTTCAGTTTCAGTTATAACAACAACTGTTTCCTAGTGGCTTTTCGTTTTGAACAGATTAACCCGATGTGAACTTGTACATTCTAAACCTAAGGCGGGACTAAAATGAACCTTACTCTGATCAAGAATGAAGGCTGCATTGCTTTGTGCCACTTCATAGCCCTGTTCAGCCAGAAGGAGGTACTGGATCACTGCAGCATTGTAATCGCCATCTTTATAGCTGTTATAGGCAGTCATAAGCCTTTCAGACCAACGTCCTCGTTCACATACATTCTTAAACAACTGTGTGAGATGGGGAAAAAAAATCAGTAAAACAAAATAAGAAACATATAGCAGAAAATCACTTATGTACTTTGGCTACAAGTTCCTATTAAGCTTGCTCTTTCAATTTCTGGCAGCTTTCTTGAATAGACATAGACGTATGAGATACTTATTTAAAGTTTTCACTTACTCTTTAGAAGTCAACAGGTTTATAAAAAAAAGTTAACAGTACATAATTATTGTGCTATAAAAATCACCAGTTACTCTGCCCAGGCAAGGTTCTAATGATTTGTGTGTACCGCCATTCTTACAACCTCCCATGAGGTTCATGAGGGACCACCCTATGGGTTAAGTCCTGTTAACAGCCACAAGTGAGTAAACTAAAGCACAGAGATTTAGAAACTTTGCTAAGCATTTATCAATGTCACTCTAAAGTGCCAGGTCTGAGAGAGCTAAGAGGAAAATTTTCAATTAGGAGCTATTGGCATTCCTTTTTGGAACATTCGTTCAATGTACACTTCTCTTTTTTTCTTTTCTTTTCTTTTTTTTTAAAGAGATAGGCTCTTGCTATGTTGTCCAGGTCGGTCTCGAACTCCTGGGCTCAAGCCATCATCCACCTCAACCTCCTAAGTAGCTGGGACTACAGGCATGTGCCATTGTGCCCAGCTCATATATTTTTTTGATCCTGATTATTATCAGATATTGTCTTAGGTGGTAGAGATGCTGCAGACACCACTATCTCCCCTTGTATAGTTGATACTTTCAGGTAGAGACTAAATAATAGGGAGAGACTAAATAGTTACAGATCCCTCAGTCTTCCCTGAGTATATCAAAGCTAGGTAGGCTGAGTCTAGAATTATAGAAGAAAACAAAGAAAACCAGGATTAAAAGCGTAGACCTTCCTGTTGAGCAAATCAACTCCCTACACACAAGCTGGTAGAAAAGACTGTACCTCCACTGCAGTGTGACATGATCGCATCACACCTGTGCCACTGGCATGCATCTGGGCTAGGTTATAGAAAGCCAAGATATGGCCTCCCTGAGAAGCTAAATTAAAATATTTTAAGGCCTGTTTGTAATCTCTCTTGACTCCAATGCCATCTGTAAGAAAAAAAAAATCACATGAGCTAACAGACCTAAGTAAGATTTAGCTAAGTATCAGAGAAGCTTTATAAATGAGGAATAAAACTCTAATGAAAGAATTCTTACTAAATATGTGAATCTAATTCAAATTAACATATTGATACAGATTAATACAATTTACAATGAAAAAAAAAAAAAAAAACACGTACAAATCATAGACCTGGGAGAACATTTAACCAGCCAGAATTTGGTAACAACCATTTTCATATCATAATGCCATCTAGTGGAAAGCAGCTTAATTTAGGGTGTATCCATTATTAATTCCAGTGTTACTTACTATAGTACATGGAACCAAGCTGTAGTTGCCCATCCACCCAGCCTTGTTCAGCAGCTTTCTGGAAATACTTCAGGGCTAGATCATAATTCTGTAGAAAAAGATGTCATATGATGAGTAGCTCAAAAGGCTAACATACTCAAAAGTTAGGAGATCTACTAAAAGGAATGAACAAAGCATACAAAAAATATTTCTGGTAAGTCATTAAAAAGACTACCTTCTAATTCTTATTATAGATAACAATATACTTTAAGTCATAGGGGGATTAATATTTAAGGTGGTGAAGAAAAGCAATTTGTATGCTGCTTTCAGAAAGTACAAACACTAGTAGAACCAAGAATTAAGAAAGTCAGTCTTCTCTGCTGACTCATTAACCCTTTTTAAACCTCAATTTTCCTAATACTAAAGAAGGAAACTTCTTTCCTTATTCATTTCTTCCCTGTGTACCTTACCAATCACTACATGATTATTATACTTCAAGGAGAAAAGTTAAAATAAAGGTTACTACTGAATTTTAGTGTTCTAGAATGACTAGAAGGCCTCAAAATGAGAACACGTTACTGTCTTTCGTGTTAGAGAATACCTACAGATTAGACTCTTAAACATAGCTCTTAGATTCAGCCTCAAATTAAAAGTTCATATTACTTGAAGAGATCATATAGAAAGAAAACAGCAACGTGAATCCAGGGACATCCAACATGAGGAGGTTGCACAGAAGGATAAGATGCAATGGCCAAGGAAACCCAGACTCAGAACATAAGGCAAGGGAGAAGTCAAGTGAGGCAGAACCAAAAAAATGTCAATTGGACTAACATTTAGGAGGTTACTGGTGATCTGTACAGAGTATAGTTCCATAAAGAAGCAGTTTGATTGCTAAGAACTCAAGAGTGAATAGCAGCTTAGTTTGGCTCCGAGTGAAGGGCTGGGAGGAGAGAGGTGGTAGCTAGAGGGGACAAAGGGCAGAACAGAAAGCTTTCTTCCTCCTAAATGAAAGGCAATTGTGCATTTTTTCAGGCTTGAGTAAAAAAGTAGGCAAGGAGATGTTTTAAGTCCTGAGAAAGGGTTATAGTAGGTGGGGCAGAGAGCAGAGATGGAAGAACAAGAAACAGCTCCACACCTTTGGGAGAAAGTGCCAGACACAGAGCTGTTCTAAGACAGTGGTGTCTGTCGGGTGTGAAGTGATAGTGAGACAAACTCAGACAACAGGAAGAGGTTCAGCTTTGCTTACAACGGAACAGCACCACCTCGGCTGACTGGAAGCTAATTAAGGAACATGTCCCTACCTCTCCAGCCAACTGCTCATTAAAGTCAGAATGTCGGACTGAACACTTACAACTTGAACCCCTCTCCCGTAGAGGTAGGCCATTCCAAGGCCACTCTGTCCCACTGGGTTGCCCTGAAAACCAGAGAAATCAGACAAAAAAGTGAAAAGAATTCATTAAAAAATAGGCAAGAATAAATAACTGCAAAATAAATCCTTTATAAGCATATTCAAAAACATGTCTTAGTACTTTTCCATTCAAAACAAAACTTTCTTCTCTTCAGACTAAACATAATATTGACTTTTAGACATTTGGGGGCTTTGGGTAATTTGCTGAAAAAGAGTAAATAGTAAATTCATTTAGAATTAAATTTTGGTGAGTTACTTTATGACCATGAATTTATGACATACAGCATGACTGATGTATTTCATCAAAATTAAAAGCAGGTCACATTTTTGCAGTTTTTCACCGGTAACATCCCAATGAAAAACATCCCACCCCAATAAAGAGGAAAGGTATCATGGAACATCTTGTAATAATAGCACAATCATGTAATAACAGCAATGCTGCTATAAGGTGCCAAAGATATTCTTAGGATTACTGAAGTGTCATGGAGCAAAGAGAATCACTGTTTTGGACTAGAAAGAAAAACTCTAGAATTCACCTAGACTTAGAGGGACAGAAGACATCTTTAAAAAGACTGTCATAGCATTCCTTAGGGAAGCATTCAAGTGACATCTGGAACTGCAGTAACATGTAAGAGTTGACAGAAAGGTAAGTGTACATACTGAAGATATACAAGGTTTTAGGTATTCATATGCAGTTTTCTGAGCCAAAAAAAGCCTAAATTATGTACTACAATTATGAAAAGTATCCTATTATGTAAGCTTTTAAATTTCATGTTGCATTACAAATAGGTAGATTATATAACTCCCAGTTCCATTACTAAAAATCAGTATTTCCCTGATTAGGAAACTTCTCAATGAAACTTAATTAAAAATCAACAATCTGGTTCCTAAAAAAATTGCTTTTTATACAGAGGGCTTTGTCTAATCAATACATTCAATGAATCATATTTAATAAGCAGTTTCAATAATGTATAGTGTGAGTTGGTTAAGATTAACCCTTTAATATAACAAATTTATTTATTAAAATATTAGTAATATGGTACACATTTCAGTACACTGAGACAAAGTCTTACCATGTCAGCAGCTTTCTTAAAATAGTGGAGAGCTGTCTCATTACTCTGAGGGACAATGTCACTTCCTTCCGAATACATCTGGAAAACAGACCCCAATTTCAGTAAGAGCTGTAACCCTCTCTTCAAGTACATTTTTCTCCTTTATTATCTCCTTTTGGTTTTTGTTAGCTCTCATGAAATCATTTCCAAAAAATTTAGAATTCCCCGCAGGATACTTTAGAATTAAAAGCAAAGGCTGGGTGTGGTTGCTGATGCTGGCAGTTCTAGCACTTTGGGAGGCTGAGACGGGCAGATCACCTGAGGTGAGGAGTTCGAGACCAGCCTAGTCAATATGGCAAAACCCTGTCTCTACTAAAAATATAAAAATTAGCCAGGTGTGGTGGCACATGCCTGTAATCCCAGCTACTCGGGAGGCTGAGGCAGCAGAATCACTTGTGCCCAGGAGGCGGAGGCTGCAGTGAACCGAAAGCTTGCCACTGCACTCCAGCCTGGGTGCCAAAGGAAGACTTCATCTCAGAAAAAAAAAAAAAAAAAGAAAACAGAAAAAAGAATGAGAAGCAAACTCTTAAAAGCAAACATTTTAGTAATTATATATTTTGATGTCATCTCAAATTTATGACTTATTTGTAAACATGAATACATAAAATCAGCTCATATATCAGTCTCAGAGGAAATCTTTAAGCCCAAGATGAATCATTTTTCTCACTCTATTCCAGGGCAGTCAATTGGTTAATAAGTTGCTTAGGATCAGATCAGTGATTCAACAAGGATAAGGGCAGATGCTCACAGTGTTCCTTCTTCTTTCTCCTCCACCACTACTTTCCCCAGGATAAGATCACAAGTGGGTCTTAACTTCAGGAAGCAAAGTAACTAAAAGGTTTATCTGAAAAGGGTTTAAACACTAAACAATCAGAGTATCTGGTATGGAGAATGATAAAGCGCCAAGAGAAAGAAAAACAGAATGGTCAAGACTGTCTTTGTCCACATACATGTTAAAGAAACAATAAATTTAAAAAATAGTTTTTAAAGACAATGACAGTAGTTCAGAGCAAAAACCAAAAGAGGAGGAATGAAAAGTTCTTAAATGCTTAGCAAAAACATGGAAGAATACCAAGTTCTATGCTATATAACAGCTAGAATATTTAAATGTTCAATTAACTAGTATGATCATGAGGCAAATCATGATACAATTTTCCATTTGTAAAAACCTCTGAGATACATTCCATCTAAACTTCCTTACTTTAGGATTTAGCTAGAAGTGAAAACATCCATTGATTTGTACTATGTTTCAAAATAATGAAAAAGAAAGTTTTGAGATTCTTCCATGACAGATGGAATTGATTTATAAAGTCTCTAGACTTAAATGTTCCCTTGCTTGAGAACATAGCTACATTGAGAAGAGGTGGGTCATGGTTAACACATTTAAGACAAAAGTTCTACAAATGAATTTCAACAAACTCTAATTGCCTCTATTCCGCATGGAAGGAAACAGGCAACTGTGAGAGTCTTAGCAAAAACTGCAAAGCATCAAGAATGCATTCCTCATTATTGCATAAATACACAAAAAGTAGGAGCTCAGACAGTGAGAGCTAATTCCAATGAATAATTAACATACTGATGAGCAAACACTATGTTATATTTAAGTTGCCTAAGAAAATGCCTCAGAATAGCACTTTAAGATATAATAGTTTTGCATTAGGAATTTTATTTCCAATTTATTTTTGGTAAATTGTAGATCCTGAATACAATACATGCTAATTATGCAAACACCTCTTGCTATTACATAAAACATTCACAGGATGTACAGTACCTTTCCCAAAAAGGCCATAGCATGTGAATTGCCAGCATTTGCTGCTAAATTGAAGTAGTCAAATGCTCTCTACGAGAAAAGAATTTATTAAAATAATTAGTTTTTAACAGAATCTGCTTTTGACTTTTCAGCCAAAATAATTATTTCAGGAACATTTAAAAAATCTTGTTATATTACAGTGCTTTAAAAATAAGAATGCCCAGTTATCAATATTTTGAAAGAGAAATCAGTACATCTAGAAATTTTATTTTACCAAATAACTGTACTATTTATCAGGAAGTCATTGCATAATTATAGATGCAAAGAAATTTCTTGTGTCTCCTAAACTTAAGGTCTAAGAAGTTTTCTGTTATGTGTGGGCAATCAGCTTGCTTAAAAGACATTTAAGAGCAGCTTGACTTCTTTGGTCTATCTCTTTACTGATAACCTGGGAGAAAGGAAAAACTAAGTCATCTTTCCAAGACATGGAGCATATTTTCATTGTTCTCTAAAGGAATACAATTTCCTCATGTATTGTTTTGAGAAGAATTCTTAACCTTACTTAAAAATCACTGAAGTAAACACACTAGCATCAGCAGAAATTCATTATCACCGCTTTAAACTGTATTGCTGCCCATTTTTGTTAAGAACCTTGTACCATTGGTTATTCCCCTTCTTTTCTTTGCTGATTTAACTTCTCCCTGTTTTGGAACCAGTTCCCCCTTGTCCATATTCTGTAATCTCATTATTACAAAATAAAACCCAGCTGGTCACGGTGGCTCTCATCTGTAATCCCCGCACTTTGGGAGGCCAAGACGGGTGGATCACTTGAAGTCAGGAGTTCGAGACCAGCCTGGCCAACATGGTGAAACCCTGTCACTACAAAAAATACAAAAATTAGCCTGACATGGTGGCATGCGCCTATAATCTCAGCTACTTGGGAGGCTGAGGCAGGAGAAGCCCAGGAGGTGGAGGTTACAGTGAGCCAAGATCACACCACTGCACTCCAGCTTGGGTGACTGAGCAAGAACCTGTCTCTAAATAAGTAAGTAAGTAAAATAAAATAAAAAATAAAATTCAAACCAAAACATTCAATATATATATCTCCTTTAGAGACCCCCACTTTCTCTCTAATGATGACTGTTCTGTTAGCTACTTTCCTTCACAGGCAAACTTCTCGAATAAATTGGCAACATGCACTTCAATTCACACTACAGTCTAGTCTTAATTGGCTTCCATTCATTACATCAAAAACACAGCTTGTCAAGGCCACCAATGAGCTTCATAGTGCCAATCTAAATTTTTTTTTTTTTTTTTGAGATGGAGTTTCACTCACGTTATCCAGGCTGGAGTGCAATGGCATGATCTCGGCTCACTGCAACCTCCGCCTCCTGGGTTCAGGCAATTCTCCTGCCTCAGCCTCCTGAGTAGCTGGGATTACAGGCATGCACCACCATGCCCAGCTAATTTTTTGTATTTTTAGTAGAGACGGGGTTTCACCATGTTGACCAGGATGGTCTCGATCTCTTGACCTCGTGATCCACCCGCCTTGGCCTCCCAAAGTGCTGGGATTACAGGCGTGAGCCACCCCGCCCGGCCCAATCTAAATTTTTAGTTAATCTCACTCCACCTTTCTCTGCAGCATTTGGCACAGTCCATCAAGGCTTCCTTCCTGACAGACTCAGCTTGGCTTACAAGATGTCACTCTCTCCTGGTTTCAATCCTAAATCTACCTGTACCACCTAAGTCTGCTTTGCTGGTTTTCTATCAGTTGACTTCTGAACGTTCAAGTTCTTCAGGGCTCAGTTTTGGACTCCATTCTTACTTTGCATTCTCTAAGCAATCTCATCTATTCCCATAGCTTCACATGCCATCGAGATGATGGCAACTCTTAAATTTACATTTTCAGCTTTAATCCAGTCTATTCAATTACCTCTGAACACCCTATCCCATGCCCGAACATGTACCTGAAATCTTCTCTTTCTGACCTCAACTTGCTTCTCCTCCAGCAGCTCAATTTAAGCAAATGGCAATACCATCTTATTGGTTGCTTAAGGTATCTGCCCCCCTTCACTCATAGCCTATCCATCACTAAGTCCTGTGACATTTACCACCAAATACATCTTGAATCCACTACTATCTTCCATTACCATAGTTCTAGTCCAAGCCACCTTCTCTCTCACCTGAAGTTCAGGAATACTCCAGTCCCTGATCTGTCTGATTTTATTCTTGGGGTCTACTAATTCATTTTCTATACTGCAGCCAAAGCCATTGTTTTCAAATCTGAACATGCTGATCCTTGTAGCTCCTTGAAGTGCTGCAGGGATATGCTGATGTGATCAGGCACTGCTTATCTCAGTTCTGTTTCTTCTTGATCTCTGTACTATGGGCAGACCAGCGATGTTCCTTCCCGTCTCTGGGCCTCGGCACATACTGTTCTTTTTGGCCTGGAATAACCTTATCTCCAGTGTCAACTTAAAGGTTTTCCACTTCTCTTTACAGAAGTCTTTCCTGGCAAGTGGTAACTCCTACCCATTAATCAATTTTTGTATCTTTTAAATCTCCTTTGTAAGAATAACCACAATTTATATTTGGGGTGATCATTTAAAAAATATCTAATGCTCCTATTAAAGTTAAAGCTCCAAAAGGTCGAAGATCAAAACTATTTTGTCCAATACTGTATCCTGAATGCCTCGCAGTGAATGGCAGATACTAAAATATTTGTTGAATTAATGCAGTTGTGTATTGGGAACTCCTTTTGTATCTGTGAAGCTGGTGAAATAATTTATCGTTGTATAGTTCCTTTACAGGAAGGCAGCATATAACACCAAGAATATTCCCAAACTGGCTATATATAAAGTATGCAGGAAACTCTTACTCAGAATTGTTTTCTCACCTGATATTTTTATTAACCAGCTTAGCTGATGCCTCTCTGGCCTAATGATATACATTTTAATGACCTAGAGACAATAAAGGCTGTCAAAAGTCATCTGAATTAGAAAAAAAAAAAAAACCCTATCTATATATTTGGTATAATTTTAGTGATAAATGTATCTTGTTACAGTCTAACAAAGTTGATGGGATATGGTATACAAAATAATCTTAATTAGAATATTTTAAATGGGATGGTAGAAAAACAGTTTTATTACTCTGACAAACATTTATTGAGAACTTACTATGTGCTAGGCATTGCCAGGGGCTAGGAGTAAAGTGGCAAACAAGGCAGACATCGTCTATGCCCTTTTGGACGTTAGGTTGTAACAGGGAAACAATTTAATTACGCAATTAATTAATTTAAAAATGACAAGGACCAAAAGGAATACAATTGTTAGAAATCCTAACCGTGGTCCGTGACCTATTCCTGGAGTGGGGTTGAGGATCTGGGGAGACATATTCCAGGTTGGAGTTGAGTTCTGGAGGATGAACAGAAACGAGCACTATGAAGAAAGTAGGTGGGGGAATATTCTTTCTGGAGGGAGGGACTTGCATTACTGAAGTCCTGAGCCAGGTTTCTGGTATGTTAAAGCCCTTAGAAAAACAGCTGTCTGAAACTCAGAGAGCAGGGGGCTGGTGAGGTAATCGGAGACTGGTTCAAGGCCTGAAGGGCATGGTAAAAATTCTGGTCTTTAAGCTACTGGAATCATAGACTGTTTAACAGTTTTATGAAAGAGAACCACATATAGTCAGATGTATGGTTTACAGAGAGGAGATGTCGCTTAGGAAATGTGATGGCAGATGATTCACATACTGACAGGTACACTAATGAAAGAAGGAAAGAGATGAATGATCTTTTTTTTTTCTTTTCTTTTTTTGTCTCCACACAACACTCACGTAGAAGTGAGTGATCTTTACAACAAAACTTGGTGACTGGATAAAGATCCGACTGCTGTACTTGTACACTCCTGATTTCTCACGAACAACATAAACATTTTCAGTTGTATAAAATATTTTGTAATAGGTGTTTTATGACATATTTTATCACATACTTATAGAAAACCAAAACTTTATGTGTATTTTTGAGGTAGTATTGAGAACTAGGTTTGAGAATCAGTAAAATCTTTCCTACCATTCTGAGGTATATTCACATTTTCATTCTTCAGCTTTCTTAGGGGTTGGTTAGATCTTGAAAGCTCATTTGTGATGGGTGTTTAAACGACACAAGTTTGATATTGACAATGACTTAGCAAGAAATACATTGGGAATATCATTTCCTGCTATAACTGAAGTGCAAAGCCCTAGGAACAGGGTAGTTACCTGATGATTCTGTTCTACTCCACGTCCCCCGTGCAGATGCAGTTGTCCCAGACCAACCTGAAAACGATTCCAAACAAGGCAAAAGTAAGTGGTAGCATCTGGCACATAATTAAAATCAGACCAACAACAAATGATTTGGTCATAAAATGGTTTCTGTTTGTGACTCAAAAAACTAAAGATTCAGTCCTAACTTCTGAAAATATTATTCTACATTAATTGCCCTTAAAATTTTGAAAAGTAAAAACATATGCTTTTAATTGCAAAGTACTATTTGTGGTCAGGTGCAGCGGCTCATGCCTGTAACCTCAGCACTTTGGGAGGTCGAGGCAGGCGAATCACTTGAACCCAGGAGTTCAAGACCAATCTGGGCAACACCACAAAATCTTGTCTCTATAAAAAAATAGAAAAATTAGCCAGGCATGGTAGCACATGCCTGTAGTCCCCACTGCTTGAGAGGCTGAGGTGGGAGGATCACCTGAGCCTGGAGAGGTTGAGGCTGCAGTAAGCTTTGATTGCGCTGCTGTACTCCAACCTGGGAGACAGAGTGAGTAAAAAACAAAAAACAGGCGGGGCACAATGGCTCACGCCTGTAATCCCAGCACTTTGGGAGGCTGAGGTGGATCATCTGAGGTCAGGTGTTCAAGACCAGCCTGGCCAACATGGTGAAACCCTGCTACTAAAAAGACAAAAACTAGCTGGGAGTGGTGGTGGGCACCTGTAATTCCAGATACTCAGGAGGCTGAGGCAGGAGAATTGCTTGAACCCAGGAGGCAGAGGTTATGGTGAGCGGAGATCATGCCACTGTACTCTATCCTAGGTGACAGAGCAAGACTTTGTCTCAAAAAAACGAACGAACAAACAAAATAAAAACAGAAAGTATCCTTCTAAAGCAGAGGTCAAATAAAGGCATTTTCACATAAATTAAAACTGAATTTGTTTCCAGTGAACCTGTTATAAAGGAAATACAAATGGGTGCTCTTCAGAAAGAAGCAAGATTACTAGAAGCTGGGAGATACAATAATAAAGAACTGGCTGGGTACGGTGGCTGTAATTACGCCTGTAATCCCAGTACTTTGGGAGGCTGAGGTGGGTGGGATCACTCAGGCCAGTTCAAGACCAGCCCGGCCAACATGGTGAAACTCCCATCTCTACTAAAAACACAAAAATTAGCTGGGCGTGGTGGCACATGCCTGCATTCCCAGCTACCTGGGGAGGTTAAGGCAAGAGAATCGCTTGAACCCAGGAGGCGGAGGTTGTAGTTAGCTGAGATAGTGACACTAGGCAACAGAGCAAGACTCTGTCTCAAAAAAAAAAAATGAGATAACATAATAAAGAGTAATGAAAAGGTAAATTTGTAAATAAATGTAAATTAATATGGGCTGTACAAAACAATAGTATCTCATGGTATCAAAATATATAACTTACAGATATAAGTGCTTGCTCCCTTCCCCAAAAGATTAAAATATAAATGCAGTAAAGGTATTCGGTGAGCTGTTTAAACACATACCTGTGCTTGTACATCACCCTTTTCAGCTAGGAACTGGTAATATTGAATCAAATCTTCTTCTAGCATTCCACTGTTCATTCCTGGATTTTCCACTTCATCAGGCAACCGTATTCTCTGTACTACTGAGCCTCCTGTTAGCGAGATATCACTGGCAACTGAAATAGAGGGATAAAATAATAACATGGAGGAAAATCAGAAGGATTGTTCCAGAGAGTTCCAGAGACAGAGAAGTACAATTCTAGCTGCCAAACGTTTACAAACACAATGTTAAAGGAAATTGCTTTTAGAGTAGTCTATAGAGATCACAAATCAGTAATCTATTAATAAACGGAACTTTTAAAAAACATATTTAAATAGAACTCAAAGCAAAATTAAATAAAGAAAAAAGTACATCTGAACCTTAACTAAACATGAGTCCACATAAAAGAGCCATTTATAATACTTCAAAGAGAACAATAAAAATAGGTATGTTTAAAGTTAAGTCCATTTATTTATCTTCCCTGAAGGGTAAAAGGGGGAAACATAGATACCATGATTGGCAACAAGACGATAGTGAGTCAGTGCAGATTCACAACTCTGGAGGACTCCGATGCCAGCCCAGTATCTGTAACCCTGTAAAACAACTTCATGTGAGGAGACAGCAGTTTCATGTACTTCAATGGCATTCTTTGTGGAACAAATAAAGCTAAGCCTGCTCAGAATTTTGCTGTCATGTGACCCAAGTACACTAACACCTTATTTATGCGAAGTTTTAGGTTTTGAGGTAATTTATTCAGTAACTTCAACAAGCAGGCCATAGCTAAGAACAAGGAAATAAATAATATAGTTCCTAGAGCAATCAAAATAGATGTCATAAACTTTATTTTTGATGTGTGTGCGTTTTACTCATAAGAGAAAAATTGTAAGGGCTTTCACTTAGAACCAGTTTTAATCTTAGACACAATTTTGTAACAAAAATAGTTAATCTTCCAAATTAGCAAAGAAAAAGTAACAAAGCGGCAAAATAGGGAAAATGAGACTACTAGAAGCAGGCACAATGTCACTAGCAATAACTGACAGAATAAATGAGAACACAACTAATCATGAAGAGCAGAAGATGCAAAGTAGAGTTCTCTGGAGTCATTCTGCATAAATAACTTCATGAACTTTTAACAATCCTTAGGGCATTGTTGCGAAATAATGTATAATATTTCATGTTCTTATTCCGTAGCCACTATTTACAAAATTTTGAAAACTAAAAAGTTTTTTTTAAAATTTATGATCATCTAATCTAAAAAATGATTCTGACAAATAATTCCAACTCAGAGAAAATTTAAAAACAGCCATTTATCAGATCTCTCTTTTTAAGGGCAATCAGCCAAACTAATAATTTTAAAGAAAAACTGTGCACTCCACCAATTTTCATTTACATGTAGATTCCATCTGTTATATCCATTAACAAGAATTTGAAGGAAGTTCAACTGAATATTTGGTCTTAATCAATACAAGCAAATCTTGATTAGTAAAGCTGAACAAGCTGTGGCCACTGTAAACCACAAATTCCCTGATACTTAATGTTACTAGCCTTCCACTAAAGTCTACTTACCAAAACCATGTGGGCTATTAAATTGCCCCCAAGAGCTCCAAATGTATAATATACAAGAGCCTGTGAAAGAACAACAAATGTTTAACTGGACATAGGCACACATTTATTCAATTCAATTGTAATATGCAATAAAGTTTAATAGTATTACCTTTGCCTGACTTGAATTAACACCAAGTCCGGAGGCATAGAGAAAGCCAAGAGCCTGAAATAATAAAAGTAAGAAATCTTCCTTTGGTCAAGGTTTATCTAAGACAGACACAGTTTTACATACTACGAAAAAATGCAAGAATCTTTACATTCTAAAAGATTTGAATTTGTATGTACAAATGTGGAATTAAAGAGCCTTAGAAAAGCATTCAGGGTTGTACACATTATACGATTAAATGTAACTTTTATTTTTTTTAATTTTTGATTTTATTTATTTATTTATTTTCGAGACAGGGTCTCACTCTGTCATCCAGGCTGGAGTGCAATGGTGTGATCTTGACTCACTGCAACCTCTGCCTCCTGGGTTCATGCGATTCTCGCACCTCAGCCTCCTGAGTAGCTGGGACTAAGTAGAGGCGCATGCCACTATGCATGGCTAGTTTTTATTATTTTTTGGTAGAGAAGGAGTTTCACCATGTGGCCAGGCTGGTCTCGAACTATTGACCTCAAGTGATCCACCCTCCTCAGCCTCCCAAACTGCTGGGATTACAGGTATGAGCCACTGCACCCACCGCAATTAAATGTAACTTAAGACAAAAAGTTTAGCTTGAAGACAAATTAATATTAACTAGAAAGACAAAGCTGAATATATGTAAACATGACTTTTACTTCATCGTTATGAACAGCCATTATGAAGACAACTCCTATTATTGGTACATCAGCATATTTCTCTACACAGAGAAGGATACACTATGAAAACGGACAAGAGATGAATTACCAAGATAAACTATCCCACATATAAAAAGAGGCAGCAAGGAGTCAAGTTGAAGGGGTCGGGGAGAAAGGCTGCTCTACAATGTTAGCGCACAAATGGTTTTCTAAAAATTAAAAAAAAAAAAATGTAACAAACAATGCATTGGTGAAGTTCAACCTTTTCAACCCTTTGCTTTCTGTGGATCATCCTTGATAGCAGGAAAGTACAAGCTAATGTGACAAAGGCAGGCGTGGCAGAGACTGAAGTGCTCACTGGAATCATGAGCTCCTCTACATTTCCCAGCCTCTTGGCAGAATCACATGCCTGGGATATGGCTGTCAGGGATGTAAGCCTGAAAACATCCTAATGGATTCCTGAGGCTCTTTTCTCACTTGATCATGGCTTGGAAGATCCATGTAGCAGTCAGTGTAGCTACATAACAGAAGCAGCCCACGACCAGGAGTCACTATTCAGAAAAGAGTGGCGCAAACAGGAGGGCTTCATCAAATCTAGTATGAGCAAGAAAACTCTCTGTAGTGTTAAGCCACTGTGATTTCAGGCTTTGTTGCATCAACTAGAATTAATTTTCATGGAGAGAGTGCTTTGCAACATATAAAACGCTGTGGCTTTGTAAGGTTCTAATATTAAATGGAACTGATGCCTTAAAAAGTAAAAACGTTCTTCAGAGCGGAATGCGTCTGAAAATAAAGAATATATATGTTAATTTTATATAAACTGATTCATGCAAAGAAGGGAAAGAGCTTTGAAAACAAAGGGGAACAATTAAGATATAATCTGTTTATAATAAAATACCGAGGAAAGAGCTGCAGAATCGTTAGGTATTCAGTTCTAAGAAAATAACTGTTATGACTCCTGTTATTGTCTGAACAGTTTGAAAACAGACTTTCCTTGTGATTAGATATTTTGTTTATCTTTAAGCAAGTCTCACAGCTTGAATAAACTTGAATTATTGAAGGAATTTTAAATAAATATGATGGCCCTCTAAATTCAGTTGTCAATCTTAGGATTATTAATGGGGAAACAACCAGATATGTTATCAACTGATGTGATACAATGTAGAATACGGAACATCCCTTGTAATGTAGTCTAGCCAAAAACATTTTACTTGAGTTCATTGGCCTTTAGCTGTGACTTCCTATTGACAGGAAATACAGGTGATGAAGAAACAAACTAAAAGCCACCATGAAAAAACAAACAGAGGTAGGATATTCTGCAGAAAAACTGTCCCTATATCTAATACAGACAAAAAAGGCATTGGGCTATACCAGATAACCAAATGTAGGATATATTCCTGGACTGAATACTGGTTTGGACAAAACAGGTATAACGAAAATTTTGGGGTTCAACATCATATGAACATAGTGTGGGAATTATATGACTTAAAATTTGCTGGGATGAAAAGGTGAAGTTCTAGAACAATAGAGAGTGGTATCTCATTTTAATAAAAATATGTATATATACACAAAGAGAAAGATCTATTATAGAAGGATATGTATATACTAGCTTCTGTAATAAAATAGTTTAAAAAAAAAAAACACCAAGATTAACATGAGCTGCAACATCTGAACTTTAAAAAAATGCAATGGTGAGTAATTTCAGATAAAAAATAATTATCTTCATATTTCATTCTATACAGACTAAATTTGGAAAAGTACAAATGTAATTGTGGCAAGACACAATTGCAAAAATGTGTTCACTGATCATAAATGTTCCCAGACTAAGGGAAAAGACTATCCAAGAAGACTGGTAAAATGGTCAGGCACAAAACTGGTATTTAAAGATACTTTATCTTCCAGTCTGACTTTTTAAAAGAAGTCAGGACATAGAGAGTAAACTGCTTTTAAAAACAAGTGCTACATGCAGAGAGATTCTTCACTGAGAATATACTTACAGTCTGTCCCTTGGGAGAACCTTCCTCAGTCAGCTTCTCAAACATCTCTCTTGCTGCCTGGATATTCTGTGGCAAGTAATCACCAAATAAAAGAGCATATGACACTCTCTCCAGGGCTTTGGTATGGTTCATGCCTGCTGCCTTTTGAAGATACCGATATGCTCTTTAAATGTAAACAATTAAACATCAAATTAGTAATGTTCTGAAACTGCCAGGAAGGTTTTTTGATCTAATAAAATGCAGTACAAATAATTTCCTTATGTTACAAAACCCCTCTGATCATCTTTACTTTTTTTGGAGACAGAGTTTCGCTCTTGTTGCCCCAGATGGAGTGCAATGGCACAATCTTGGTTCACTGCAACCTCTACCTCCTGGGTTCAAGCAATTCTCCTGCCTCAGCCTCCCAAGCAGCTGGGATTACAGGCATGCAACACCACGCCTAATTCTGCATTTTCAGTAGAGACAGGGTTTCACCATGTTAGTCAGGCTGGTCTCAAACTCCTGGCCTCAGCTGATCCACTCATCTTGGTCTCCCAAAGTGCTAGGATTACAGGCGTGAGCCACTGCACCTAGCCACCCCTCTGATATCTTATTTCTATTTAGTCATGTTACTTACATATGTAGATAACATCCTGATTTTATTTTTATTTATTTTTTTGAGACAGGGTCTTCCTCTGTTGCCCAGGCTGGAGTGCAGTGGTGTGATCACCGCTCACTGTAGCCTTTCTACCTCCAAGCTCAAGTGATCGTCCCACCTCAGCCTCCCAAGTAGCTGGGACCAGAGGTGGAGGCTGGTACCATCATGCCAGGCTAATTTTTTAAGTTTTCTGTAGAGACGGGGTTGCACTATATTGTCCAGATTGGCAGGCTATTTTGTTTTTCATATAAGGTACCAGTTCTCTCTGTTATCCTCATATCTTGGAATAGTCTAATTATACTAATACTAATTCTAAAAACTTTCATTAAAAAAAGTTAACCAGATTTGCAATAATAGAATTACAATGTGATGGTGTACAGTATTTTTTTTTTTTTTTTTTTTTTGGGATGGAGTTTCCCTCTTGTTACCCAGGCTGGAGTGCAATGGCGCGATCTCGGCTCACCGCAACCTCCACCTACCGGGTTCAGGCAATTCTCCTGCCCCAGCCTCCTGAGTCACTGGGATTACAGGCATGTGCCACCATGCCCAGCTAATTTTTTGTATTTTTAGTAGAGATGGGGTTTCACCATTTTGACCAGGATGGTCTCGATCTCTTGACCTCGTGATCCACCCGTCTCGGCCTCCCAAAGTGCGGGGATTACAGGCTTGAGCCACCGCGCCCAGCCTACAGTATATGATTTAATAATAACTGTTGCAATTTTCTTTCTAAATTTTTGCAGGCTATAAAAATGTCAGCTGAAATTAAAAGGACGTAAGATGTTACAAGATAATCACTTATGTTTTTTTCCAAGCACAAATTTCTAAATTCTAGTCAAAAATTACAAAGCAATAACAAGAAACATACTTGACAATTTTTTGTTTTATATCATTTTGAATTCTAAATAGTATATAGACTCTAGATTCTTAGAAACTACTACAACTTGAGTCAATGATTGCCAATTGACTCATTGTTTGTTATTGTAATCAGTATGTGTAACAATTTTACTTTAATAAATCAAGTGTGGTAAAAGCAATGCTACTAATGCCTGTAAGTCATGTTATGTTTTCTTGTAATGGAACTTGAAAAAATCTTCTGTGTCTCTGGCAATCCATTTTTTAAAAAATGTAGTTGCTATGTGTCTCAGTAATGGCCTGTCTTGGGGGAAAAGTGGACTTAGCAGTGCTACCTACTCTCTTTTTTGGCTTTTCTTATTGCTTCCATTGAGGATTTTCATTCCAGTCTGATACATCATTTCTGCTTCCTGCATCTGCCGTCTCTTAGCAGCCTCTTCTTCGGCTAAAAACAAAATGTCAGATGCATTTAAATGGATTTTAATTCTATACCAATTATCAACCATCAGTATTTATTCTTTCTTTTGGGCAGTCATACAAACATAATGAATGATCTTCCACTACTCTCAAATATGATTCTAAAAACACTTAAATGTGGCCTTTACATGACACAAGATAAAACTCAAAACAAAAAATATATATGTAATTCATGGAAATCATTTTCTTATAGAAATACCAATACCAAAGCCACTCTTAGAAGATAGTTTTGTTAGTAATGCTAACTTTTTAAATATAATTCAACTAAAATTTCAGATTATGTGCAATATGGTTTGGATCAACGTCCCACCAAATCTCATGTTGAATTGTAATCCCCAGTGTTGGAGGTAGGGCCAGGTGAGAGGTGACTGGATTATAGGGGTGGTTTCTCATGAATGGTTTAGCACTATTCCCTTGGTTCTGTTCCCGTGAGAGTAAGTTCTCAAGAGATCTGGTCATTTAAAAGTGTGGCATCCTGGTCCTCACCATCTCTCTCACTCCTGCTCCCCCCATATGAGACAGCTGCATCTCACATGGTAAGTTTCCAGAGGCCTCCCCAGAAGCCAAGCAGATGCCAGCAACATGCTTCCTGGTCAGGAAGATGCTTCTGTTTCTATAAATACTGGCTCTAATGAAATATGTATCTTTTGATGAGTTCTTACAGTAGCAAAATAACTTTTGAAAAGTCTGTAATAGTCAGCATCTTTATAATGACATTTATACTAAAGATGTTAAATAGACTATATTTGTCAAATGTTATCTTGGTATACCATATTTCACTCTAAGTATTTTTGAAAAGTTATTTTTCTTCTAACTACTATTAACCTTCTCCATAATGGCCCAGTTTCCTTTACTGCCAAAAAAAAAAAAAAAAGTTTTAAGTTAATTAATTTACCAACCTGCCCTGAAGGGTTTAACCAAACAACCTGTATATACCAATGGAAAACCACCTTTAAATAAAACGTGTGACTTGACAGCCTGAAAATAAATATACCACATGCTTCCCACTTTTAAATCCACTCTTCAAGGCTATATAACCACATCAGCAACGCTGACCATTTTTGACGAATGTGGAAAAAGATGGCTAGAAAAAGGCCTTAAAAACACTGCCCTAGACATATAGCAATGAGGACCTGCCTCCTCCCGAGCAATACTTACTTTCACAAAAGCCCCACTTTTCATCTGCTTTGTAGTCATAGGTTGTAGCACACCACAGTCTGCCATCTTCCCTCCCATCTGATGTACATTCATCATATTCCTTATCTAGGAAAAGAAAAGGGAAGTGGCAGGGCTCCCCATGTGCTGTGCCTTCAATGGCGGTCAAAGCTGGAATGACAAGAAATAAAAATCTAAACATGAACAACACCTCCGGTACTCACGGATTCAATACCATCAATTTTGGCTGTTAGAATTTGAAGGCAAAGAGAAATGATGCCCAATTTATAACTGGCAACATAAAAGGGCTAGCAATGATTCTGATTAGGGAGGACTTGGTTTAGTTAATTTAGTGAGCATGGCTAGCTGACTACTTAGCATCTGTATCTATGTTAGACTTTCTGAAGTTCCTGATATATAACCTTAGAATATTAAAAGTCTACTGTAAAACTCCTGCCCAAGAAGTAAGCCAAAAATAAAGCAAAATGCAAGTGAATCAATTCTACTGCTCAGCACAGCTCTCCTTTTTTCTGAATGCTCTAAGTCAGTTTCCTCAGTAATACAGAGATATACAGGGAGGCTGCCCAAGACAAAGTTAACTACTCACACACTCCTCTGCAATCCTGTCGCATTTTATCAGAGTACTTATCACATGTATGGGAGTTACGTCTTTACATACTCTAGTTCCCACTGGACTGAGCTTGTTAAAGGTAGAGACTGCATCTGCAATTTATTCTATACATTATTTCTGAGTATCTGTTAGGTGTTGAAAATTATGCTAGGTGCTAGAAATGAGGTGGATCAGAGGTCTTTGCTACGCAGAACTTACTGCCTAGCCAGGAAGAGAGACATTAAACAAATGTGTAATGGATGCTATAGAAAGGAAAGCCTTCCCTCTCAGGAACTGAGGTTTCAACTGAACCTCAAGAGTGTGCAGGAGTAGCACTGAATCAAAGGCTCTGGGGTAGGGTGGGTAGAAGTACTCAAACAGACAGGTGCTAAGGTGGGAAGAGTCAAATGAGTGGCAAAGTGGACAAGAGAAGAGGCTAAAGAGGATGAGGAAGCCAGACTGGAGAAGACCTTACAAGTCTTAATAAGGAGTTTTGAACTTTTATCCTGAGAACAATGGAAACTCAATGAAAAGTTTTATGTAGGAGTGACATGCTCACATTTTATTAAAAGAGTGGAAAGCATGTAAAAAGTAAGGCTGGATGCAAGGTGACCAGTTTAAAGGTTGTAACAGTGGTCTGAGAGGCAATGTAGCCCAGAGAGGGAGAATGGAATGGAAGATGTGGATGTACTTAAGCAATGCTAAGGAGGTAGATAAGGTACTACTTTCTGGATGTGTGGATAAGAGGAAATTTGAGTGAAGGAAGACACCAGGTATTAGACTTTAGGGGTGAACACATGGTTGCCCTTACTAAGATACAGAACTCTAAAGGAGGAGTAGATTACTGGGTAGGTACTGCTACATTCAAGGTGGCTACTAAACAACAAACACACAAAAAACAAAGAAAAAAACCCCACGAAAAACAGCAAAAAAAAAAAAAAAAAAAATCACAAGTGAAAATGTCTTAGACATGTTTTAGTTGTAGTTAAAAAAAATTTCTCCAGTACACAGATAACACTTGAATTCAAGGGTATGCATAAGAATGCTGCATGAGAGGTATATGAGAAGACCAGAGGTCCAGGACTAAGCCTAAAAATCATACACCATAAATATGAGCCTATGCCAACTTCCACAGGTCGCTTTCACATGGAGAATTTAATTGGGTAGCAGAGCTCAGTGATGAAGGGTATTGGTTCTGGAGTCAGAATATTTGATGCAAATCTTACTACTTCTTAGCTATGTACTTTGAGCAAATTATTTAATCTCTTAAGATTACTTAGAGATAACTTCCTTATCTCCAAGTAGGAATAACAGTCCTTATTGCATTGGGTTGTTTGCAACGACTGTCTGAGAGAATACATGTGAAGGTCTCATTATGGTGCCTATCACTTTAGGTAATAGGAGTCTAAGAGATGACAGGTGCTATTATTATTATGGGCACCCATGCTCTAAAGGCTAGAAACTATCCCTTCTTTCTTTCCAGTATAAAAAAAGGCATATCCTATGATACTAATTCAAAAAATATTTTCAATAAGTCATGAAAGACAAAATGAATTTCAAATGGTTTACACCAAGTAAATGTCATTCATCATCCTGGTAAAAAGAGGCAAATAACTTCTTTACCTTTGCTTTGTCTATGTTTTAAAGAAAGGATCTCTAATGCAATGTATAGGCAAAGAATCCTTTTAGAAACAACTTCAGAGGAGTCATTCTGACTACAGAATTTCAAAAGGACATCCCTATACACTGATACTAGATCCAGATCTGCTGCTGCTTTACAAAGACAGTCTCTGAGCTAGGTGTTGTGGCTCATGCCTGTAATCCCAGCACTTTGGGAGGCTGAGGTGGGTGGATCACTTGAACCCAGGAGTTCAAGATCAGCATGGGCAACATGGTGAAACCCTGTCTCTACTAAAATTCAAAAAATTAACTGGGTGTGGTGGTGGACACCTGTAGTCCCAGCTACTTGGGAAGCTAAGGTAGGCGAATCGCTTGAACCTGGGAGACAGACGTTGCAGTGAGCTCAGACTGCACTCCTGCCCAGGTGATACAACAAGACTCCAACTCTAAAAAAAAAAAAAAAAAAAAAAAAAGATAGTCTCTGTAGAACTGCAGTTTGTAAACCTGAATTTGAAATTAAATAGCAAGGATGGTTTAAAAGAATACTTCTATGATAATAGAAATCTTTGTCTTAAAAACAAATAGCTTATCATAGGAATTCTAGTTTGCCAAAACTCGCATTTTCTAAACGTTTCAAATATATGAAATAATTCCCTTTCATGTGATTAACGATACAAAAGAAACTGGAGAGAATAAAAAAATTTTTGACAACAAAAGGTTTTAATTTACTGCTGATTCAGCACTGACATAAGTGGAAAGAATCCCCAGTGGGTACCCATTTCATCCATTTGGTCAAAACTGCAACCTGTCAAAATAATTCATCAGTGAGTTACTACAAAGAAAATTTGTTTCTCTCCACTACCTTCTCCAAGGGAAATCACAATATGGAAAGTGTTACTACCTTTTAAATTTGTTTTAAAATCTTCCAGAAGTTTTTGATTACTCCCTAGTTTCAAATCAATTATCTCAAACAGAAATTCCTCACAATAGTTTTAATTTCAGTTAATTTTCTTTCTATGGAGAAATTCTGCAATAATTTAAAAGCCATCTTTTTAAAAACCTCCAAAGAACAGCATCAATTTTAAAAACAAACCAATCACTGCTCTGGTATAATGAAGCTGACAGGTTATGCAATTTAAATTAGTGATAACCGGTAATCAAATCTGACACCATGAAAGGGGAAAAACGTGTTCTCGGTTCCTCAGCTTCATGTAAAAATTCACGTTTTCTAGATAATGAATCATATTTTGGCTCTACAATAATGACACAGTATCCCAATCTATTTAGATCTCAAGAGTAAGATATTTATAGTACAAAATTTATTGTAAAAATGAGCAGACTGCTTTACACTTAAACTGGTAGAAATTTGTTCTTGCAAAGTCAATTAAAATCAGTCAGGAAAGTAAGAAAAAGTAAAAAGCAAAGAGTAATATCTACTAGAATGTAAAGGTCCATATCTTCAGATCTAGCTTTTCTACTTCTAGGATGTTTACTTGAAAGGTGCTCCCACAAACACACAAAGAGATTATGTGCAAGAGAATACTTGTACAGCACCCTAATTTTAAAAACATAAAACCAAATGAATGCAAACATCTACTAATAGGAAACTGGGTAAATCAACTAGGGGGCAGCCATTAAATGAAAACTTAGGCATCGTCAACTGGGAAGGAATTAAAGATCCACAGAGAGCAGTGGAGCCGGGGAAGAGGATCAAAGGCTGAGTCCTGAGGGAAGCTCATGATTCATGATCAGACAAATTCTAAGGAACCAGCAGCCAACTGAAGAAAGTATCTTTAGGGAAAAGAACAATACTAGTGAGGGGTTCATTAAGATGAGGACCAGGAACTAACCGAGTATTCGGCAATTAGCATGTGACTGGTGGAAAAGGGTAGATTTAGTAGTTTAGGGGAGGCTCCAGACTTGCTGAAGCTGGATTATAGAACAGGAAGCAAGAAAGCGCAATCAATGATTATAGAGAACCCTTTCAAAGAATGATGCTATAAAGGGGAGTAGAGAAATGGAATGGTAGTTGGAGGGGAACTAAGGGACATAAGGTTTTCGTTTTTAATAGATAAGATATTACAGTATCCTTGAACACTGAAGGAAAGAATCCAAGAGATAAAAAGGTCAACATGGCTAGAATGCTGACACACACACACACACACACACACACACACACACAGAATTGAAGGTTAGGGGAACATACACATCTTTTCTTCACTTTTAATTGTAAAATCAAAACAAAAAACTAAAGGCTAATTTCTTGATCTATACAGATAAATACAAATAATTTAGCTTTGCCAATTTCTCATTTTAAGAACTTTTACAATTTACATGGGTGTTGTTTAAAATAAGAAAATTACCTATTTAAACACACTGTCTGTCTGAAGCAATCTGGCACTTCCAAACACAGAGTACTAAGTAGCATATGAATCAAATATACCTGTAGTCAAAGATAGCTTATAAACAATTAATGTTAAAAAGCTAACAACCTCAAGACAACTGTCATAGTGTTCATCAATTTTAGTAAACATCAAGATAAAAGCTCAATCAAGCAAACGATTGTCACCAGAAAAAAAAAATCTCCCAAGGACTAAGAACAAAGCACCAGTATACATGATTTAAAGTAAACATAAAGTGCTTGATTTAAAATAAATGATATAGGCCAAATAAAGAAGTATTTTACTGCTGTCTGGGAATATGCTATAGTAACATTTTGGGGAAAATACCAGTGGTATGTAATTTGCTACAGACTGCTTTCACCAAAAGTTAAAAACTGCTAAATATGGTCTAGAAACTATCTGTGTAAATAAACGCACACTATTCAAACCACTGCTTTAAGATGAGAATGTATTTTTCAGAAGATGTATTTATATGTATAATGAACAAAACGTAACATCCGAGCTTGTACAGAGCTCAGCTCTGTGAGAAGCGACTAATC